ACTGAAATCATCCTCATGTGGTTCACCTGGAAAATAGATTTAAAAATGACTCGTCTTCATAATCAGGTTGTTCCTTTATGATAATGTTTCCATTTCTGCAGCATCTCTGATGAAGGATTCAGAACTTCTAACAACAAGTCATGATAAAATGTTCTGGTTCTGCTGGTTTGGACTCTTTAAACCAGTTTGACTGGATCAGATGTTAGAATCAGTTCATCAAGTTTCTTTACATTCAGGGAAATTAATTTTCTACATTTTTATTTATTTGTTCATATTTCAGTTTTAACTGCATCCTGTTGGCTTCAGCTCATCTTTTATTCTTTATTCAGATTGGATATCTGCAGTTTTTCAGAGACCAGCTGGACGTCTCTGTTCTCAGCTCTGAAGTCCAAACCGACCCATCTGACAGAACTGGAGATTAGAGAAACCAACCTGGGAGATTCTGGAGTGAAGAAGCTCTGTGGTTTTCTACAGACTGAAGGCTGCAGACTGGAGAATCTGGAGTAAGATTTTAGTTCAGTTAATATTTCTTTGAATAATTGATCATAAATCAAAGTTCATATCTTCTGTTCTAATAAATATTTTCTGAGTTTGTTCCTGGACTTGGATCCAGAGTTTAATTTAGTCCCTCTGTGTAACTGAGTTGGACCTGCTGACCTGAGGTCAGAACAGGACAGCATTCAGACCCCCAGTGTGTAGAAATCCCCCTCATGTCAAGCAGGTCAAAGGTCATTCAACCCAGTCTAGAAAAATGAATTCCCGGAATCTGACAGGAACAAATCAATAATCAATGATTGATGCTTCAACACTTTGATCAGAACCTTTAATGATTTTACTGACTAAAATCCTCCAACACAACATGACCCAGTACCAGGTTCTGGTTCTGGTTCTGAAGTCAGCAGGTCTTTATTGAAGCAGCAGCTTGTTGGCTTTAATATTCATGAGAATCTCTAACTGGTTCTGTTGGACTGGTTAACCTGCATCCTGTTGGCTTCAGAAAACATCTTTTATTCTTTATTCAGATTGTTCAGCTGCAGTTTGTCAAAGATCAGCTGTGATTTTCTGGCCTCAGCTCTGAAGTCCAACAGCCTCCATCTGACAAAACTGAACCTGAGATTCAACAACCTGAAGGATTCAGATGTTCAGCAGCTGAAGGATCTTGTAGATGATCTAAAGTAAGTAAATGTTTGTAGTGAGTCCAGCTGCTGTCAGCATATTGAACTAAACCCAGTTAGCATCAAAGCAAAGCTCCAGTGTTCCCAGTAAAGCTGCAGCTTCTCAGTGGGAGGAGAATGGTTCAGGCTTCCTGATTGGACACAGAGACAGCAATCAGCCAATCAGAGGAGCAGCAGCTTGCT